CTTCCCCAGGCAGCTCGGGGAGGAAGTTTCACGCCGCATCGGCGGCGCGGTTCCCCGTGCTACCAGCTTCATTTCAACGTATCATTTATCATCGGACGAGGGCGGCCGGCGCTGCACGCGCTTCCCGCGGCTCTGATGACTTGATACCGAGGACGACGCGACGGTGTCTCGCGACACCGAGCCCGTCGCGCTTCAATCTCGTCACCCGCTGGAGCCCGCTAATTCGGGATTTCCCTGACGACCGCTCGTCAAACAGCGCGATGCTTGGCCGCGCGAAGTCGCGTCGCGACGGTCTCTTTTTTCTATCTCGCCTCAGCTCTGTCTGGTTGGTTAACCTTCCGAGCGTTTGGTCGCGAAGGTTAAAATTATATTTCTTTCCATAAATTGTAAATCGCGAATTACTGCCGAAGAAATTAACAAACAACAACTAATCTACGAAAATATAGCAATTTCGATCGAATTCGTCGCGAATCTGTCACGATATCTTCCCCGTGTGCGTAAAGTGTACCGTAAGCTCCGAAATAGCTCCGTAAAGGATCAGCAGAGTTCAGTTGGAGTCGTCACGAGTGACTCTCTCGAATGTTCTTCCGAGCCGAGACGACTCGCGTTCGATGACGTCGGTGCGTCTAGGGGCGTCTCGCGCGCTCCTCATCCTCGCACTTCGAGATGTTCCTCCTGAGGCGTTGTCAAAATCCAGTTTAGAAATCGAGTTCAGCCTCGCCCGAAGCGGTCCTGCGAAGCGACCGTTATAGTCGAGGACGGCGAACACCTTCGTTTTGGAAAGCGGACCAGCAGCCGGCCGTTTCGCGGTTTTTGTCTACGTGTTGCGGCGCGCAGCGCGTTTGAGAAAATCAAGCTGGTTGTTGAGAGAGAGAGAGAGAGAGAGAGAGAGAGAGAGGGGAAAGGGTTGCGAGCGGACCATGGCTCGCAGGGTGAGGTCCTTCGCCTTTCATTGTAGGAACGTCCCGATGATGAATTCGGTCATTAATTAAGCCGGCTAAGTGGCAAGCTCACGGCTCATTTTTTAGCAGCGTTCGAGAAACAAACTACTCGTTACGCGACGCGCAGCCGTCGCGGCCGCCGCCGCCGCCGCCGCCGCTCCTCTCGCCGGCCGTTTATCCGTTATTTTCGAACGCGCGATTAGATTCGTGCCAGCTGAGAGCGCCCGTCCGGTCCCTTTAATCTCAATACGTCAGGCTAATTAGCGCGTTTAGTAGCACATGAATCAACGGCGGCCGGTAATAACATAAGGGAATTATGCATATCTAATTCTTTCCCGCGCGGCTTTCCCGCCGAGTCACGCGAAATTTATGCGCCATTGAACGCGTTAAATTATATAATTATTTCTACGTAATAAATCCTTCATACGTGTAATATATTCTTATGACTGCCCGCGCGCGCTTTATTCGCATGAACTCGGCGGGGCCGAGGCTGTAAGGCCGCTGCGCGTTAACAACTTCATTCGCCCCTGCACGTAATCTGCACGAGATCTCGTGTCCGGAGTCAAAGTGCAGCGAGGAAAAAGCGAGAGGAACGCGGCCTGCGGACTTGGAGACTTTGGCGATATTTCATATTGAAACCTCGGCTCCTCTCGACGCCGCGATTACCGTCGAGGAATCTCGCGACGAGATGGCTCTCTGCGCGAACGAGACGTCGATTGACGCGCCGTCACGCTCGCCGGCTCGCCGTGTAATACCGTCGCGCTTCATTAATTCACGTTACAAAGTACACGAAGAGGACGAAATATCGCGAATACAAGTAATATAAACATCAAGTACACGGAGACGAAACGTCGTGCGAGAGTCAGTCGTCGCGGCGGTGGAACAAGCGCGAAGTGAAAAACGACAGATACAAGCAGAGGAGGATGACAGGTATAAATCGAAAAATAAACGCGGCGGGGGGATGAGGGAGGAGAGAGGAGGGGGGGGGAGGGGATCCATCGAGTGTCATCAAAGCAACTAGTCAACCGACGGAAAGAGCGAAGCTTTCGCAGCGGGACCGGCGTGACGGCCTTAATATGCAGGAAGCCGCGGCGCCTTCGAGCTTCCCGCAGAAAATCCATTATGAGCTCTAAAGAACCACAACTTCACACGTCAGCGTCATTATGCGGGTCCGCGCGCAATCAACGGTAATCAACGCGGCGGCGGGCGCGCCGACGATCGTGGTAGGAGCGGAAGCGGAGGCGCAGCGCGCGCGGGCGGCGCGCGAGCGGCGCGCGAGCGGACGATCGACCGATCGAGTGCGTTCTCGCCGATGAGCCGCGAGCCGAGCCGAGCCGAAACCCGGAGAGGATCACCCGAGTCGGGCGGCAAATCTCACTGAGTCACTGAGAGAATTATGCTACCTGCATGCATAACACATTTTTTGCGCTCGCGTGCCCGAGGCAAGAGCGCTCGCGACAGGTGACACGCGCGACGGCCGCGTGAGATTTCGGGAAAATCATGCGTACGTGCGTGTGGAAGGAGGGAGGGAGGGAGGGAGGGAGGGAGGGAGAGGGTGGTGCGCGCGCCGTGGAGTGGAACTCGCCGGCGGATTATCGTCGCTGTCCGGTGCTTTTAAAGGCTGCCATTAGCCACGGCACGGCACGTCACGCCGGTGGTAAAAGCGCAGCTGATGAATAGCGCGATGAACGCGCGAGCGTGCGCGCCGGTCCCGAAGGGTGAAGACCGGGGCCGAGAGAGAGCCGCCCGCTATTCATCGCGCGCGCGTTTCTCTTTACAAAATAAACCGGAGGCACGCACGACGTCCCGCGCCGTAATGGCATTTACGTAATCGCCGGCGGCTGCCTGTCATTCGGTAATGTCGTTTTCGACGACGGCGCCGGTCGCGGTGGAACGTTCGATTGTCCCAAGATTTTCGATCATTCCATCCATCCCCTCGGCCCCGCCCGCCTGTTGGCAAGTTTTAATGACGCGCGGCTAGAACGAGATCGCGGCCGCGAGAGCGCGCGCGCAATTCTGCATTAGGACATTATTATTTCGGTGAAATTCGCACGCTGGAATTACGCGAACGTCAACAAAACTTCCTCCCCCCCCCCTCTCTCTCTCTCTCTCTCTCTCTCTGGCCTTCCCTGGCCCTCCCATCCTCACTCTCTCTTTCTCTCCCGAGGTCCGGCTTAATTAACGGGAGGTAACAAACCGGCAGGTACCGCATCCATTTATTTATGCGACACCAATCACGAACGGTGTGCCGGCCACGACACTTCGGTGTCGTTAAACCTGCGGCGGTCGGCTATCAAAATGGCGAGTAAACAAAGCACTGAATCAGAAATCAATATAAAACGCGTGCTCGCGCACGCTCGCGCGACGCTACTGCAGAACACGGCGTCACGGACGACGGCGGTTGATTAATAGTAAACGCGGCGGCTATTTTCTCTTCTAATTTATTCGCCCCGCGAGATCACATTTTTCCGCGCGCGCGCGCGCGCCTTAATAACCGTTTAATTCCGTGCTAATGATGGCTCTCTCTCTCTCTCTCTCTCTCTCTCTCTCTCTCTCTCTCTCTCTCTCGCCGGGGCTAATGATTTTGATCGCCCTGCACTAACGACACGGTGTCATCGGCATTCAGCAGTAATAGACCCGCAGCCGCACACGTCGCCGGCGTGTTGCGACGAGAGAGAGGATGAAGATTTATGTAAAAATATTCCACCGTTGAATCGCTCTAATAATACGGACTGCTATTCCATTACAAAAAGCAGCGGCGATTCCCGTCAGCGAGGCATCGGCTTCCTCTGTAAAATTCATCGTCCGATTATACACTTCGTAGCACAATTAATCTAATTCCGATGATTATGTGTATTACTTTATGGGCGATTACATGACACGCATTATCTGTTAGCGCGTATTGCGATAGAGCGGCAAATGTCGGCCGTCGCTCGGCGTCATCAACAGCTCCTTGCCTACGCATATATAACTTGTCTTGCATCTGTGCGTGTTGCTTCAACGCTGAAGGATCGCCGTTACCACTCGCGTTCTCGATTTTCCCCCGCGAAAAGTATCGATCGCGCCGATGCGCATCGCAAGAGTGGGAGGAAAGAGCAAGGTGAAGGAAGAGAGAACGCTGTCCTGTCCGGTGCATTTACATGACGATGACGATCGTCTACGAGTTATTCCTCCTCCCGTGGCACTGCGAGCGGTCGGCCGAAAATAAATTCGCCCGCAGCGGCGAATATCTTCCTTCCTACGCGTTCGCGCGATTCGCTATTCGGCGCTTCTTCCTCCGCCGCTGCTTTCCTCCTTCCGCTTTTCGTCCTTCGGACGGACGAGCCGCGGCTGTATCTCGATGATCGCGCGAGAGAGCTGTTGCACGTTCTGATACAGCACGCTCCAAGAGTCGCACTTGTTTGTCGTTCGCTCGCGGCGAGCAGGACAAACGAACGAACGAACGAACAGACGGACTACTCTCAGCGCGTCGGCTGACACTCCGAAATATACCGACCGCGCCGGCCGGTCCGCCGTTAATCGCGTCTACTACACGGGCTATATTTGCGCAATAAAACACACTGCGGCATTAATTCGCCGCAGTGACGGCAGCTTACGGAAAATTACGATCCCCGGAGAACGCGTCCCTTAATCTCGCCGGCTCGAGGATCCTCGCGCGAGGCTAGACTGTGTTTCATCGCGAGGGAGTTTTGGAGCCGCCTGTATATCCGCGGATTCCATCTCGTGGGCCCTACGGTGTAACAAGCGAGCGCGCATAATGATATTAATCAGGGCGGTGTGTTCGGCTTCCTTAAAATTGCCGGCAGGCTCAATTTCTCACTTAAAATCTAATTAGAGCTTGCCGGAGCTCTCGAGCTGCCGTAGGCCGGCCGACGGGGTCTCAAAGGGCGATAGGGGGGAGGAACGGGGCCGAATACGGGGGGAGTGAGCGAGTGAGAGAGAGAGAGAGAGAGAAGGAGCGAGGGGGGAGAGAGAGGCCCCCCGACGCAAGTGAGCCGCGAATTTGACCTCGGAATAAAGACGGATCCCAACCTAAGGCTCTACTTTGCGAAATTGCAGTTTCCTGCCCTCTCGGATCGCCGATCGTCCCGCGGACCCATTTCGGACCCACCGAACTCGACGATGGGCCCACCAGCCCGGCCCGCCGCCGCTCAGCCGGACTCAGCCGGGGCCCCCGAAGAAGCATCCAGCCGTCAAGGATTGGTCGTGAGGATTTTCGGGACGTCCGGGACGAGTCGTCCGTCGATCGCGCGCAGTCAGGATACTCGGGCGGGCCCAATTGTCGTCGGATTTGAGGTGAGCCACTCTCTGGACGTTCTGTGCGAAATTCGCGGATTTTTCCCGCCGATGCGGACGAACAACACTCCGCACGATATGCGTGTGTGATTTTGTGAAAGACGGAGAAAGAAACAGCCTCGAGCTTTACAGCTCGCGGCTACCACCGACATTAAAATGTTGCGAAAATATGGCGAAAGGCGAGAGGAAAATCCTTACGGTCGGGCGAATTATCTCGGCATTAAAATGTCGCGAAACGTCGCGAGAGACGAGGAGGAAGATTCAATTTTTACAGTCCGGGGAACCGTTTCGACGTAAAAATGCATGCGAAGGGAAGATGAGAAGAGAAAAATTCAATCTTTACACCCTGGGGGACCAATTCGACACATTTTTCTCGCTACTTTCTCGCGCACGTTCGTGTCTGGATTTTTCCGTTGCTAACTTCAGTCCGAACGTTACATCGGTTACTCGCAGATATTCAGTAACTCGCACAAAGAGGACCTCGTTCGGCGGCGGCGGTAACGATGAAGCGCTGGCCGATTTTTCGCGATCTATCGGCGCCCGTTGTCACGCGTCTCCACGTCGAGTCGCTGTTGTCGAGCGCGTTAATTGTATGCACCGAGACGACGAGGGTCGTGCGAGCGCGCCGGGGATGCACGACGATAAAAAGATGGAACGAGCGAGGGCGGGGGATGGGGAAGGGGGTGGCAGGAGTAAAAAAGACGGCCAATCGTTAGCAAGGTACAAATTTCGCCATTTGCCGCAATAAACCTTCGAACCTGCTTGTAACTTCTTCTTATGGGAGGCATGAGTAATCGCCTTGTTAGCCCTTATGGCCTATAGCGCTCATGCTCACACTCCCTCATCCATGAGCGGGACAGCAACAACAACAACAGCAGCAGCAGCAGCAACAGCAACAACAGCGCATGGATGCATGCGCCGATATGGAAGGAGAAGAAAAAAAGGAGAGAAACGCGAGAGAGGAAGGGAAGAGGGATACACAAAGAAATAGAGGGAGAGGAGGAGGAGGAGGAACGATAGGGGTACGAAACACACGCGATATATGTACCCCATCGGCAGCACCGTGTGTATGTGTGTGTGTGTGTGTGTGTGTGTGTGTGTGTGTGTATGTGTGCGTGTATGTAAGCGAAGGAACTGTCGATGTAAAAGGAAAAGCAGGACGGAGACGACGACGGCAAGAAAGGACGGAAGGAGAGACCGAGAAACGAGAAAAAGAAAGAGGGGAAGGGCGGGAATGAGAAAGAAAGAGAGAGAGAGAGAGAGAGAGAGAGACGCGCGCGTGTTGCAAGCGGGGAACGAGATGAAAAAATCAATGACAACGACAGACAAAGAGACTATAAGGGGCGGAAAGATACACGCAGATAAGGAGAGAACGAATCGGATCAAGGATATACCCACTCGAGATGCGCCACCGGTATACTATCGCCCCCCTCCACCCTCCCCTGCGCTGCCGAACACTCTCCACATTGAAATCGAACTGGATCGCGTAATATCGCCGCGCTCGCATCTCTGGCGTGACTCGCGTGTCGCGTGTCGCGCTCCTTAGTTAACGACAATGTTAACGAAAGGAACAGCGTTTTGATCGATGAGTCGGCCGATCGTCGTCGGCGGCGAGCGCGAAATGCGCGCGCACGCGATACGCAATGTACGCGCCGACGACGTGTAAATAAGCGTAGATAAGAGAGCGCGCGCGTACAGAAGTCCCCGTTTTCTTCTCGCCCCTCAGCGCGGCGCGGATTTTCCCTCCCGCCGGATTCGAGTTGCTTCTTTCACGGGCGGGATTCGCGGGAGCGACGATGGATGCGGAATTCGCGCTGCGTCAACGCTAATTAACGCTTGCGCGCGCGCGCGGATTGTGAAATTGATTAATGTTGCGCGGCTCCTTGGGCGATTCGCGTCAACTGCGGCGGCGCAGGATTCGAGCGAGGATGTCAGCGACAGTGGCGTGTTTAGAAGGAATCCGATCAGATCCGATCGCGCGGTCGTCGGCGACGCGCGATTCGACGGTCGCAAATAAATCGGGAACGTAAACGAGAGATCTCGCCTGGCGAGAACGGCGCGACGCGTCCCCGGCGAGCGAATAAAAATGGGAAACGAGCAATGAAAAGAAAAAGAAGAAAAACGGACGGTAAACTTTATCCTTGGCCGTATAATCCTTGCTTCGCCTCTCCTGCTTCGCTCTCTCGCTCTCCTCCCCCGCTCAACGTTATTTCAGGGCGACGCGAAGCGTTTATCGTCATATTATCGTTGATCTGGATCACGCCGGTGTATTTTTTACGTCAGGAGCGGCTTCTGTCAGCCGCTTAATAAATGGTTAATCGAGCTAATATGTACGCATATGCGAATCGCGATATGCGTCAGTTTCCGTTCGATAATTGCCGCGGTATGTCGCCGATGTTTTCTACGATCGCCGGCGATCGCTCGGCGTGCATCGCGATGGCCTCAAGATAGATCGCGCGCGCGCGCGCGGCACACGTCGCGACTCGAAGTGCAATCTCGAATAATTAATACCTCGCGAAGGTGTTTTCTCCGCTCTGTGGTAGCGCGCGATCGGCCGGCCCGGACGACGCGAGAAGAGTATCGTTTCTCACGCAGACGGTAATTCGCGCCCGTCGCCCCCGCACAGGGCTGTCCCTCAGGGCGAAAATCCTTGGGAAATTTTCCCGCAGTAGAAACTCGCCGCGAGAAGAGCCGCGTTATCGTTGCAGCGATCCTTGCGCGATCTCTCGCGCGACACGCCGCTGACGCAGAGTCCCGGATTAAAATCCCGTCGGGATAAAGTCCGTCTGAAATTGATCGGCGAGAATAATTGCGTTGTCCGTTCGGTCGCGCGGAAAGCGCCGCGCGCCGCCGCGCCGCTTTTCTCGATCGCTCGCCGAGAGCAGCCCGATATTTTCGCGCGCCCGGATAAGCAATCTCGAATCTGCGCTCGGCGGAGTCCCTCCGTATATTCGATTACGACTACGCGATTACGCCGCGTGAATCCGTGCACGCGCCGATCCGACACAGCCGAGCGACGCCCTCGCCGGGAGCGTTTTCGCGAGCGAGACGCGAAGGAGAATCGAGAATTGTGGGGTATTATAATAAATACCCGCGCGGCGCGCGAGGCATTTCGCCGGAAACGGCTTGTCCGTCCGCTGGCGGCGCCCTCGGGATTCCTTTTCCCTCGTAATTCTCACGGGACCTCCAGCTTCGCGATACACGCACGCACGCACGCACGCACGCACGCACGCACGCACGCATTCACTCACGCACTCACGCGCGCATGCACTCGCGCACACGTGCGCGAGGAAGTCGCGTGGCCCCATATCTTAAGAAGAAGCCAGGGGGGGTCCGGCGAAGGACAGCGAATGGGGACTAACACTGTTTTATCGTGTAGCCAATTAATAACGTTTCTCCGGGGTTCCTCCACCTACTCTCTCTCTCTCTCTCTCTCTCCCCCTCTCTCTCTCTCTCTCTCTCTCTCTCTCTCTCTCTTTCTGTCTCACTCAGCCGTACCAGCAGCCTCCTCCGCGAGGAAGAGATCTCGCCTTAGATATCCTCCGGTTCTCTCTCCGGCCTGGGCCCCCCGATGACGACGTCGGGCCCCGTCGCAACCGCTCGATCTTGCGCCCCGCGGAACGCTTTTATTCGCGCGTCGTCCTCCGCGCGGAGACGGTAATGACTTAAAGCGAGCTACATCGCAATCATCGCAATATTTCGGTCTCTCGCGTATTTCGATCGTTAAGAATTCATTTGGGTCAATTAGAGCCGCGCGAGGACGCGCTGGTAGCACGAGTAATTTTTCAAGGGAAAAACAGGCCTTCCAGGCCTCTTGTCGAGCTTTTTTTTTTCCCCTCCTTTCAATGCGAATCAGAGAGAAAAATTGTTTCAGATAAGAAGGGATAAACAGTTTCCAAGGCTGTCTCTTTCTCTCTCTCTCTTTCGTTGGTCGAAAAGAATTCTCAGCGAGAGACTGAACGTATCTGAGAGCCTTCATAGCAGATATCGCTCTCGCATAAGATATTTCTCAGAGACCGCGAAGACAATACGGGGCACCCTCCAATAAGAACGTTTACCTTTGTGTTGCAGCTTACAGAGTTGTCTCGCATCGTCCTCCTGCAAGCAATCGTTCCAGAATCCAGTCGCAGCCAGGCATCGTGTCAGTGTGGAAATACATAATTACATAGAATTACGGTATAAGTTGTGTTAAATCAATGTTAATCGCTGTAGCGAAGTGGGGTATTATAATAAATACATTATTTTATGTATACTCTCTCGTGTGTGCGCGTGTGTGTGTGTGTGTGTACTCGCTCTTTTCCCTCGCCTTCTTCCCGAGCGCTCCGGGAGAAATGCGCCGGAGAGCGGCGCGGCGGCGGCGGCATGATCGAGCGCGTCGATCATCGGGGTAAAGCTCGTAACGGATCGCGAATCGACGTTAAATTGGGTCGTCGCGGGGAACTAACGAGGCCCAAAAGCAGAGGAAATATTGCAGTCGTGACGAGACTGCGAGACCGTCCCGGCGAGTCGGAACGTCGAACAAGTCTCATTGGAGAGTCGCACGGCTCAGCGGCTCAGCGTTTAATTACAGTCCGCCGAAGTCGCTTGGAATTTTGGCGACGGCGTCTTCGTCCGAATTTGTCGGACATGTCTGATTCTCTTCTTCCTCCTCCTCCTTCTCCTCCTCCTCCTCCTTCTCTCTCATTCCTCTTTTTCCCACGCGGGGTAAACGGATCGTGTTACGATTACGAGCCACGGTCGTAATCGCTTTAAAGGTACTTTCGGCAGCTTACGGCACAAACTTTTCCCCGGGACAAAGAGGCCGAGCTTTTTCCACGGTCGTTGCCGTGCACGAGGGGGGGGGGGAGGGTGGAGGAGGGAAGGAAAGAGTGGCTCGTAAAGAGCGCCTGCAACGGCCCGGCATCTGCGATGCGCAATTAACGAAAGGGTTTTCGCCTATCCCTTCCAGCAACGACGACAACGTCGACGTCGACGTCGACGACGACGACGACGACGACGACGACGACGACGACGACGACGCCGTCGCCGTCGCCTCTCCCTTTTCCGCCGTGGCGACTTAAAGGCCAGCCGCCACACCCGCTGACAAGGCGGTTTGATTTATAACGAGCTTTTACTTTTTAATTCCGACGCAAGTGTCACCGCGTTTTTCCTCGCCTCGAGCTGCCGAGAACTCGTTGCGAGAACGCGAGGCGGCCTATAATTTATGCACGGTCTTATTTAGCTTGAGCTACGCGTAATAATGTCGGGCGTCGGCGACGAGAATTAATTGCGGATGAAAATCTCAGACGCGGCACGCTCGTCGAATTGCCAAGTTCGACGATGCGGACGCGCCGCGTCGTTATTCGCGCGACGAGATCGCGCCCTGCGCGATTGTCCGGCGCGTGAAGATGGCTACTTTGTTGTCGAGGGAAATTCCGTTTGTCGCGGCAAAATTTCGTCTCCGCGGGGGAAGCAAGCGGCGCGAACAACGCCGAGACGATTGAGCGTGCTTCGGCTCTTATCGCGCGGGTATCTCGCGGCTCTCGCCGACCGCGAGAGAGAGAGAGAGAGAGAGAGAGAGAGAGGGAGAGAGAGAGAGAGAGAGAGTTGCAAGGAGACAATCGAGCGTGTTGCTCAGCGGGCAACTTTTCGGACGGAGTATCATCACCCCCGCGCGGCTTTAATTGTCGAAAGATAACACCGAGGCTGGGCGAAGGACGAGCCACGAGGAATGAGGAAGGAAAGAGGCGCGCCGAGAGGTCGTGTCGTGAAAGTTTGAAGTTCGGTGGGTTCGTGCTTAACTCGGGATTTGGGACTCGAGGGTACTTAACCCCTGGGATGGGTTATGAAATGACTTTATGGCAGATCAGAGGCTTGCTTTAGATTGCATAAGGGGGTCCACGAGTGCGCGCATAGGGGGGTACGCGCCCCGATCTGCCGACGTGTCCGAGAGAGAGAGAGAGAGAGCCGAGAGAGGACGATCTCCACGGTACGACAACGAGCAGCGAGAGAGACCCGAGAGGATTCCGCAAATGGAATCCTGATTACGAATAACGTCGTCCCGCGGCACACCTTCCGGAATCTCCATACGTCCAAATTCGTCAGCCGTCGCCCGCGTCCGCTCGTGTCGGCGCCATCAATCTGCCGTAAGTAAGATCTGCTGATTTTTATTATTTACCCGGGATCGCGCTGCTTCTCGTCGCTTCCCTGCCGCTTCCCTGACGTAGGCAGGGGCACTTTTTCATGCGAGACGTCGCGTCGTGTTCATCGCGCGTCGGTCGACGCGTGAAAAAAAGACATGCTGTAATCAAGACGTAAGATATAGGCGCAATTACAGCTTGCCCGTGCGCACGCACGCGGCTGTTTCGCAACGTTCGGTTCTTCAGCGCACTGACGGTGGCGGGAGAGTCTCGCGTCTTTTTTATGATTTTAAGCGAGCTCGCTGCAGCTGACGTAGTCGGATTCGCAATCGCGGCACCTTCAACATCAAACGCCTGACTTGGCGCGATCCCGCGCACGATACAGTCTCGTGTTGCTCGTCCCGAGCACTCCGAGGCACCTTCTCCGAGAGCGGCGAAGTCGGAGGAGGAGCACACATACACACACACACACACACACACACGCACACACACGTGTTCTCGATTTTCGGCTGAAAAAAGTCGCGCCGATTTCCCGAATCACGCGCGTTTGCGCGCGAACAGGCCGGATTTGAGCACCGCTATGCACAACTCTACGTTTAACGGGGAGCGGTTAAAGTCGACGCGACGAGGCGCGGCGAGGCAGGCGACGCTAGTTTGCACAGCAATAATACCGTTTACAGCGTAGCTTAAATATTAATGTTTCTTCCGCACAGTGCTTCACCGAATCGACATTCTCACGAAGAAGTCACGGTAAAGCGGACGGTAATCGATCCGATCGAGCAACGATCGGTTTTCGTTGTGAATTATAATAAATTATCACGCATGCACGTGTAAGGCCGGTATTCTCGTCAAAGCGCGCATCTTCGGCAAAATATACACCGCCAAATTTCCATGATCACACCGTCGCGTTACACAAAGGGTGGCTCGGCCTGTCCAGTTTACATCGCTGCTCGAACATTAATGTGTCCTTCGAAAATACCCGATTATTCGCATTCGCGATTCTTCAAAGGAATTTACGGAAGTGGACGATTATATTAGACGACAATAATCGCGAGGCACTCAGTTGCAGGCACGGAAATTAGAATAAATTACCTTATCACGCGCGCGCGCGCGCGCGTGTGTGTGTGTGTGTGTGTGTGTGAGAGCGATATCTCCCCTAGACTCGACGCAGCGGACGCGTTTCCGACAAAATATACACGTCAAATTGCCGCGCAACGACGATATTACATTTTCGAGCAGGCGTTACACACAGCGGGGAGGGGGGGGGGCATGACCCACACGCCCGTTCCATTATTCGGGGTAGTTCTGTACACTTCGCGGGGCACAATGCCGATCGATTGCCTAACACCGGTCCTCCTCCTCCTCCTCCTCCTCCTCCTCCTCCACCACCTGCTCCCGCTCGTGCTCCTTCCCGACGAAACATGCGTCGCGTTTGGAATTTCCGCGGCGCGGCGGCCCGTCTCTGTCCGCGTGACGGCGGATACGCGAGATAGCTCAGGTTTGAGCACCTCTTTGTAATTTTACGTTGCCGTGGGGTGGCTAAAGCTGACGCAGTGGGGTAGGTGGTCGTGGTATGCCCAGTAGCCAATTCCCGGCTTTGGGCTCGACTCGGCGGGTCCATTCATCGCCGTGCATTACGTGACCGGTTTACCAATCCAGCCCTTCCTGCACCACCACCATCAGCACCGCCGCCTCCGCCACCGCCGCCGCTACTACCACTGCCACTGCCACCACCACCGCCGCCGCCACCACCACCACCACCACCACCACCGACGCGCCGTCTATATACCTCTTTTCCGAGAGAGCCGAGGGAGCTGGCGCGAGAGGACCGCCGGGCACACGTACCTGTGTGTACGTGTATCTGCCAAACAACCCTTGGAGTCATATCGACCGGCTGGAACGGCCCCCGAACTCCCTTCGCGATTCCGAAATTCTGTCGTAAACGATTTTCCCGGGTTTGATTCCCCGCCGTCGCGTCGGTCTCCTCGCGCTCGGAACGACGACGGTTTCATCGCGCGTGTCAAATCCTTTGTCCGTGACGCGCGCGCGCGTGTATGTGTGTGTCGGCAGTTCGTGTTTCGCGGCTCGCGATGCGGATCACGCGGCGCAACGCGAATTTTTATGCCGCCGCTTGGCGGCTGATTCGCCGGTTAAACTGTCGTGCCCGAGAGGAGTGTGAATCGTGCGCTCTTTTACAGTACGGAATCGGCGATCCAGCGTAATTGCGGCGGTTGCTTGGAATAAAGAGCAACGGAAGAGGGAGGGAGAGAGAGAGAGACATGTATAATTTCGGACGTCGCTCTTGCGAAGCTCTTCAGGATGAGCTCACGTGCGAGCGCGCGCGCGCGCGCGGACGGATCGACCGGTCGTCGCGAAAAGAGCGACGCCGACGAGCGGGGCCCTAAAGTAATTATTCCGTCTATAAAACGGCCCGGCACGAATTTCCGTGACGAATTGCCCGCGATATCCAGCGCGAGCAAACGAAACGCCCACGAAGAGGCCGGCTGAGTCCTCGCGGAGCAAGAGAGGAGTCTCTCTCTCTCTCTCTCTCTCTTGTTCATTCGCTCGCTCACTCGCTCGCTTCTCTCCGTCGAAAGAGAAACAGAGAGGCGAGTCTTCTTCACAGGGGGGCGTCACGTCCTGCGTCCTTCGATGATGATGGCACGACGACGGCGACGCTTCGACTCGCGCTCAACTCGAAGGGCTGGCTGGCAGCTGGGGTGGGAGGAGAAGGAGGAGGAGGAGGAGGAGGAGGAGGAGGAGGAGGAAAGTTCACCTCGATCGGCTCGGTTTCTACACGATGATGACATGTTAATGTATGGATGCGTAGTACATAAGCGTGTCTGGAAGGAGATGCCGGGAGGAGGACACGTTGGTGCCAAGCACGAGCCAAAGCAGGCTGTCTCCCCCTCCCGCCCCGTGCTCTCCTCCGCCGGGCCCCGCGCGACACCCCTTTCTCGTGGCGGATGAGTTTCTTTCGGCTCAAGACGAACGGGCCCAGGTCCCCGATGTCCCGAGTCATTGTCGCCCTGCCTTCTTCATCTGCATACAATGCCGGAGACATCCGCGGCATGAACCGTCCTTCCTCCTCGGTCCCCTCCGTCCCCTTGTCGCCCTCTTCCGTTACTAAA